GCGCAATGTCTTTTTACATGGATCGGCCTTTGTATATCAAACTAAATTCTTGGCTGCTACAAGAGACTTGGGTAGAAAACCTCATGTTTGATTTGGGAAAGAAAATATTGTGTACTGATTGGAATCATTGCACTATAACACAGTTTTATTATTCATGAGTTGGCTCTATTTTTGAGATTGAGAATTATGATCTGATCTAAATTCATGGATTTCAAGTACTAGGCTGATCTGTACTTTGCAACAACTTGAAACATGTACTCCAACACTATCCTCAGAAATCTGCTGTTTCACACAAGCCTAGTGCTGCTGAGTAAAAGGTGATCTTATTAAGTGTGATAAGACTTCCAAAGACTACTAAAAGAAGTAAAGAATTATTTATTCTTATCAAAGATTAATTGCTGAGATTATTTACATACAATATGTATATGGAAGTACTTCCCAAGGACTGTAAGAGAACGCCCGCATTTCTTAAATTGACCCAACAAAGATCTGCTGAACATACGCTATGACCCAGTCAGCATGCTTCATCACAGTGTTGTTCTAGACGGATTGCTGAGGTGGCCTCCACCATTCCCACCTCCTGGTGTTCACATCCTGGTGTGATCCCCTCCTCTTGTGTGAAGGCAGGATTTGACTTGTTTCCAGCAAACAGAATAAGGTGAAGGTGATAAGATGTATGTGATTATTGATTATGTTAGATGATCGCATGATTATGCTACATAGGATTACAGTGCCTATCTTGCTGGAGTCTCTCTCTCTTGCTGGCTTTGAGGAAGCAAGCAGCCATGTTGGGGAATTCCATGTGGCAAGGAAGTAAAGGTGGCTTCTAGAAGCAGAGAAGGCTGGAAGCCCGCTAGAAGCCGGCAAGGAAAAGAATCCCTCAGTTCTACAATCGCAAGGAACTGAATTCTGTTAACAGCCTGAGTGAACTTGGATCTTTCTTCAGGTGAACTCAGATGAGACTGCAGCTCTGACTGACACCTTGATTGCCTCGTGAAACCCCCTGAGCAGAAGAGCTGGTTCAGCTGAGCCTGGACTTCCTATTCACAGAAACTAGATGATGTAGGTATGTTGCTTTAAGCCACTAAAATTGTGGTGATATTGTTACATAGCAATAAATAACTAATATACACCTCTTTGGTCTTCATCTTTCTCAACCTGGGAATCTTTGAAGCATACAGGCCAGTTATTTTGTAGAAAGTCCTTCAAAATGGGTGTGTTTATGTGGAAATTCCTCAATCTAATCCTCATGATTAGATTCAGATTTTTGGCAGGACTAACACAGAAGTGATGTTGAGGCCTTCTCAGTATATCCTATTAAAAGGTATATATGGTTGGTTTCTCCAATAAAGCGAGATCTAAATGATCACTTGGTTAGAGAGGTATCCACAAGGTCTCTTCGTTGTACAGATACTATTTTCCATGGTAACTAATATGTAACTTGTGAGGAGATACCTTAAGACGATGTAAATACCGCAGTCATCACCAAACTCTCGCCTATTAGTTTTAGCAACTGTTAATGGTTTTCTAACTATATGATTCCTTTTATGTTTATTACTTGGCATTCTACTGTAAGGGACATTCTCTTCTATTTATTTACTTATCTAGTTATTTATTTATATCAGTATAGAATCACACTTTCTTTAGTCAGTGGTTTATAATTTGTTACTACTACTATATATTTTGATATTCCAAGTGCTCCAGATCTGTCCATTGGAAACCCCCTTCAGTTATATCTTCTGTCCTTCTGATATATAATTGCCATCATTTTTAAGCCTTTTTTATTTTCTGGCAAAACAAAATTTCTGGGCACTTCTTGCACTTTCCCTGTCCTACATGTGGAATATTTTCTCCAAAGACTCTTAGTTTCTTTTAAAGTGGAGAATGGTATTTAGAAACCAAAATCTGGGTACTAAGGGTATTCACTGCTACTAGAACATCATTGCTTCTAGTACCTCTCAGTGGCACAGCTGGAATATAGATAGATAGCTAGATGGATAGATAGATAGATAGATACATACATACATAAATTTAACAAAATATATGCAACACATATACATTAAAAACTACAAGACGTTGCTGGGAGAAATTTTAAAAGACTGGAATAAATGGATAAATATACTATGTTCGTGGATTGTAGGACTCAATATTATTAAGATAATTATGAAGATGTCTTCTGCTTAGCATCTCACAAGGCTGCAATCCATGTATGGGCTGGGATTGTGGTCTCGTCTGAGGCTTAACTGGGGAAATATCGGAGCTCACTCAGGTTGTTGGCAGAATTTACCTACTTGTAGTTAGAAGACTGAGGGATTCATTTTCTTGCTGGCCAGAGCTCCTTGTAGGCTGTCAACTGGAGGCTGCCCACAGCTCTTCGCAACTGCCTGCGTTTCCTTGTTATGTGGCATTTCCCCACAGACAGACACACATACACACACACATTTAATTTTTAACCTCCAATTCCATTTCAACACCACAATGCACCCTCTAGTCTTTCTCCTTCAACAGTGAGAAACCTAGATACCATTATATGTGCAAATATATTTACTCAATTTTGTCGAGCCTAGAACACACAGGATTGCTTCAAGGGAGCAGAAGATATCGTGCGGCATTTGGAAAAATAACAAGGCAAGGCAAGAAAGATGTTATGACTCTTACAATTTGTGTTCTCTTTTTTGGAAAAGGAACTTGATCATTCATCGTTTTGTTTGTTTTTTCTGGTTGTGTGACCAAAGCCTTTAACAGTAGAGGTAGGTAAAAGTCACTCATGTAGAACTTTGTAAGCCATGTTACAGAGTTTGGGTTTTATTCTAGTACAATGGGAATGTATTGGATGGCTTTCTGTCAAGTCACATTTGTTTGTTGAAAATAGCATTAACAGCATTTTTCAAGTTATTTCCTGGTAATGTTTATTATTTACTCATTCTTCAACTCATTTTAAAACAAAATTTGAGATGCTTGGAGCAACCCATACCAATAAGTTAAAAACATAAAATAATAGAGCAAATTGGGATAGAATAAAATGGAGCTAAAAAACAAGAGGCCAGGGTGAGTTCAAAGTGTTCAAAATACACTTACCTTTAAGTACTTTAAAATTACAAGAGGTATTGTTACAAATTTTTTCTGAACTTTCTAGAGCGTATCCCTTGTATTATGCTCACCTCAGGTAAAAGACTTAAGCAGGAACCCCCAATCCGCTATCTACACCACAGGGAATTGAGACTCACCAATGAGAAAATCCATGGATTGTTTTTCTTGCAGTGAGTTTTTTTAGAAACCTTGCTAATTTCTGATAATTTAACCCTTTCAGGTTAGGAGAGAAAAAAGGACACTTGGATAGAGCCTGTTTATTTAATCAAGGCAGCCAACCAAAGCAAATAATTTAAGCCAAACATTGACTCCATCTTTAGTAGGTAAGCGGAGTTTTAAATTATAATTGACTTCCTGTTCGAAGAAACACATGGATTTCCACAGGGAAACACCGAGCACTGAGGAGAAAGTCTCTATTTCAAGAGGACTGTCACCAGTATCATAGTAACAAATGCAGAGAGAACTCTCATTTTAAAATCGGACACAATTTATCGTGCACTACTTCACATGCTACTGCTTTGCTTACTTTTTATTGGTTTGTGGTTACTTGCGGACGACAGTCAAGTTTTCGAGAAACTGAAGTTACCAAAGGACAATTCTTTAATGCAGGAAAGATAAAGCATTGCACTGGAGAAATGGAAGACATTTTTTAACCTTCTCATATTATCAATTTAATTACGTGTTTCTATGTAGTGAGTAATGTCTTACGTTCTTGCCAAGAATGTTTTGAAAGGAGTTTGTAAAAGTATGTCAGTTCAATCACTTTTGGTATATCGCTGCTAATGGTGTCGTTCACACGTTGTGAAACACACAACTCCAGATTTAATTCTGCCCAAAAAATTAGGTCATTGCGAAATACCATACTAAAATTGCAAATACAGGACAGGGAGATGGGAGTGAGGACAAAGCAGAGGAAGACACCAATTTCTTCTTGTACAACATGACAGGGATGGGACAAAACAGAGAAGGAAGGCTGATCCCTTTTATAGGGATACTTTTTCCAGAGTGTGTGTGTGTGTCTACGTTAATTCCAGTTAAATATAAATGACGAATTAATTTCAAGTGGGAAACTTGCTGCTCTGCACGGGCGTAGCACCCGTGCTCTCAAGTTACCCTAATTGTAGAGAGATGTCCTTGTTTTCTGACTTCATTCACAAACCATCCCTGATTATTTCAGTTTACCTTTTTCTTTTTCTGGAAATAGTCACGAAAAGGGGGTGTCTGATGCAAAGACACTTAGCTTGTAATGATTATTGTTGTTCTTATTAACATGAAGTACGGGAATGGCTTTGCTGGAAGTTACCCACCCAGACCCCGACATCTGTCTTGGCGGCACACGTCCCTCTCCTTACCCGGCCGCGGTCGGTGGCTGGGCGCTTTGAGCCACCGCGCTGGCTGGGTTCCGAGGGAGATCGGTCCCCACTCGCCGCAGACCGGAGCGCTAGGCTGGAGGAAAGCGAGACGGGACAGTCATTGTTCTCCCAGGCCCGAAGAAAAGCGCCTAAGGTAGCACCACCTCTCACGTTCGGGCGAAACTTCCCCTAGCTCCCGCTTTCTGGGCTCGGGATGGGTCTTCACATCGCGACCTTGCCTTTTCTGGAGTGGGCCACTCCGAGAACACACTACAGTCACCTTTGCGCGCTCCCCGGGAGCCGGCTTGGCACACAGCGCACCCCAGCGGCCGCGTGGCCTCCTTCTAGCCGTGGCCACTTAGCTTCCGGAGAGCTTGCCAGTCGCCGCCGCAGCCGCCTCGGAATCTGGGGACTCGACAGCCTGCGAGAGCCAGGCTCGGCCGGACCCCAAGGAGGGCGCGGGGCTGCGGCGCAGGGCCCCGCCCGGCACACCTGGGAGCCGTGAGGACTGGGAGAGGCGGGGCGCGGCAGAAGGCTGGCCCCGTGCCCGAGCCGCTTCCCCGAAAGCCGGCCGGACTGGAGCAAGGCGAAGGGGGAGGGTCTCGCGGCAGCAGCCTGCTCCTCCGAGGGAGGGACCCCAGCTGGGGCGGCCGAGCAGCGCCCGCGAGCCGCTGAGACGCGCTGCGCCCATCATGGAGCGGGCCGGCCTCGGCTCTGCGCCGCCGCCGCAGCAGCGGGACCAGGACTCAGTGGAAGCCTGGCTGGACGATCACTGGGACTTTACCTTCTCTTACTTTGTTAGGAAAGCCACCAGGTAAGAAGAGGACCCAGGGAAGACGCGACCGGGGCGCGGAGCGTGACCTGGGGCTGATCTCTCCCCTCTTTTGAATTTTCCCCTTCGTTCACCATTAAACAGCCTCCGTTCCCAGGCCCTTCCCTTTTGAAGTAGGTCCTTGGTCCTGTTACGGTGTAGAGACCTCGACTTTAAGGCGAGTACAGTAAAAAAACCCCAAGCGTCGGATTCGATCCAACTTGCTCACAAAGTTCAAATACAAAAATGTACGTTCCGCCCCCGCCCCACCCCCCAACCGTGACCGCCCTGGTATTCCCTGGGAGCAAGATTATTTTCATACAGCCGTGCTCCCGGGCCTTCCTCCAGCCCTTCTCTAGCCTCCTGGTTCCCCTAAATATCCTTAGCGAAACCAAAACAGTTTTTGAGCCCCTTCCCTGCAGCTCCGGAAGCACCATTTCCAACTCGGTCCCAGCGGCTCCGCTCCTCCCCCGTCCCCCCTCGCCCCGGCCCTGGCGGGGCGGGGAAGCCGGGGAAGGGGCGAGACCACGAGGAAGTCCAAAGGCAGCAACATGCCTGAACCTTCCCAGAGTGAGTGCCTTTTGCCCCCTTCCAGTCCCCCGATTGTCCCGCGCGCCTCCTTTCACTCGCTCTTGCGCCCAAGGCGGCGCCGCCAAAGGGCTCGCGGAGGGGACAGCGGCGCGCACACAAAGGGCGCGGGGGAGGCGGCGGGCAGCGGACCCCGGGGGGCTGGCGGGTCTCGCGCGGCCCCAGCCGACCCCATGAGGCCGGCTCCTCCTGGTCAGGAGCCAAGCGCCGGGCGGCCGCGGCGGAGGGCGGGGAGGGAGCCTGTCCTTTGGGAGGCGGCGGCGCAGCGGGCAGTCGGGGCGCGCGTGGGAAACGCTTGCCGGAGAGTTGGGGAGGAACTGAGGCTGAAGCCGAGGGACGAGGAGGGTGGAGCGGAGAGCGCGCGGCGGGCGGGTCCTCCGAAGCCCGAGGAGTCGGTGCGAAGCCGGGGCGCGGGCGAGGCTGCGGCGCGCGGACTCGGGCCCACTGGAGGACGCACGCCTTTGCAGAAGGGTCCCGAACCGCGCCCCGCCGGCTCTGGACAGCGGCCATCGGGCAGCCCGCGCTGGCCGGCCGGGCCGCCCGCGAGGCGCGCACGGGGCGGTGATGGTGGAGGAGCCGGCCGGGGCTGGGCGCTGGGCTCCCACCCGCCGGCGCGCGGCCTCGGCTCTGCCGGGCGCTCCCCGCCAGGGGGCGGCGCAGTGCGGGGCGGCGGCGCGGCGGCGGGGGCGGTAGGGGACCCGGCTTCGAGTCTCGGCCTCACCTGGGCGCGTCGTGGCCCCCCGGCGCCTCCTGGAGTCCAGGGTCCGCCGGGGCCGCAGGATCTGCACCTCGAACTTCCCACGTTTGCTATGTTGCCCTTTGGAGACAAAACAAGGTACTTCCTTCAGCATCCCCCCCGTCCCACTTTCCCCCGGGGGTGCGGCGGGGACCCGGTGCTGGGTGGTGGCGCCGGGTCACACCGGTGGGGCGATGTTTCATTGAATATAGATTGTAAGACATTTTTGTCTTCCTTTAGTCTCTTGGGGATGTATTACTTTGGGGTCTTAGATGGGGATCTTTTTAACCCTTTCTCCTAACGAGTTGTCGATTTGATTACTTTCGGGGTTTTTGGACAGAGGCGATGGCTTCGGGACAAATCTTATGTTTTGTTTAATTACTCCACCTTCGTTTTAAATCCTCTTTCCCTCTTTCTCTTTCTTCCTTCAAAATCCTAAATCTGGAGCGACCAGAGGATAAACCCGGAAAGGAAAGTGGTTTCTTCTCAAAGGGCACTTTTCTGTGAGTTTGGGGCGAGGCACTAAGGCCATCCAGGTCTGGAGTTATTGATTGCTGTCGGTTGACAGTGTTCAGATGTCACCTGCTACCCCAAGGCCATCTGTCCTCACTCTCCTTTCTCCCTACGTTTCCACCTTCTGCCCCCCGTGAATCCTAGCGCACAGAACGGGGAGTAGGCAGAGAACTGGGCTGAGTTTTTCAGCGTGTGTGGCTGTTCGCTGGAGGTGTTCTTTAGGCAGATTATTAACAGTTGAAAGAAAAAAGTTGTTTTATAAATCAGCATAAATGCCCTTCACCCCCTCCCCCAACGGCATAAATTTGGGATTGTTTGTGGTAGTTTTTAACTAGTCATACACTTCACTTTCAAAGCCTGCCAAAACATTGAAAGTAACATATTGGAAAATAAATGAAAAGAGTTAAGTTACATTTCTTTTCGCATTACTTCTCCCAAGTAGTATAGGATTAAAACCCTAATTCTCAAAATTATACTGCTCTGTGTAAAATTTAGATCGTCTGAGACTATATACTTTTTTTCAGTTAGGGTTTTTATATTATAGTTGATGTTGACAACAGGCTGAACCCTTTCTATGATATATGTGTGTGTACATATGGTCTTAAGAGTTTATGTTGCCTATAAGTTGGAAAGCGAAAGTGTAAAATATTTGAGTAGTACAGGCCCTCATTTTAGGAGTTGCAAAGTGCTGAAAGTTGTCAGTGTAAAGAATATAATCTGAGAGCTTGTGTGTACCCAGAGGTTCTTCACAAAACAATATTCCAGTTTAGGCTGAAATTTGGTGGCATTAACTGGAGACTTAAGACTGAGAGTTTGGACGTTAGTTGATTATAAAAATGCCAAACAGCTCAATCCAGTAAGATTCACATGGTTGTGGTACAAACTTATCGCAGACATTTTAACTTTACAGCTAAGATTTTATTTTTTAACTAGAAGCTCACATTGCTTTGCTTTTTTTCCCTTTTATTACACTTTGTAAGTGTAAATGAATACCGTATGTGATTCAGGAACCCATGAAACAGGATAGTTCTGTAGAGGCATTTGGCATGTTTTAGGATTTGAAATACATTTGGATTCACTTAGATGGCCATCTGTGCCTGTAAACAGGCGTGTTGATGGAACTATTTCTACGTTGTTTGATTTAATTGTTGTCCTTTGACATTCATGCATGCATGCTTCTCTATCCTGTCCCCGGACGTGAATGATCTGCACTGAGTAGCAGTCATTGAACAGAATGGAGCTCCTGGCATTCCTAAATTCTCATTTAAACACCTGTGAATTCTGGTTGACCTTGAATGCAGTTGTGCTGCTCTATTACACTGTTTCTTGTAACTATCTTCAGCTCTGGAGCTAAGCACCCCATTAAAATCTGTAGCCTGGAGCCTAGGATAGACGCTTTCTAGTAATCACAGCCTGTTTATATGAATTTGAGAGAGTCAGTTGAACAAGTCATATAATCTACTGGCATAAAAATGCATTTGAAACTAGTAACCGCAATATATGGAAAACTCCCACCCTCACTATTGTAGACAACTTTGCAGTCCTCCAGGCCCGAGATGCTGTCTTAATTAAGGGCTCTTAGTGCTCATGCATTCACAACGCAGCCTTCCCCTGCTAATGCCGCTTAACAGCTGTTGTTATTCTTGACAGCATATTAAAATAATGTTACCTTTCATTAGTTACTAATCAGCTCTGTGGTAGGGGTGATATTTTAGGTCATTTAGTGTGGTAGGGGTAATATAATTGACTTTTTATTGCTTTGTTTTGTACTAGGCAAAAGCTTGAGAATATTTGGTATATACTGGAAATAGGAAATATTAAGTGAGGACAAGTTTTTATGACTGCTTGGATCAAAGTCCAGAAGCTTCACACCTCCGCGTGGTTTTCTGTTACAGACTTTTCATTCGACCCTGCAGGGCTGTGCTGAATTAGCTGACCTGCCAGGCCCTGTGTTTGTGATCCTTTCTTTTTGGTAATTTTTTTCTCATCTCTAAAAGCTGAAACATCTTTGTTTGCAAGATATTTTTATTAAAATCAGATGACGGATATAAAATAAACATTGCTATCTGCTCTTAAAAATTACTCTTTCTATAACTACATAGGGATAGAAACTTTTCACAATTTTCAGACAAATGGTTTGTTAAGCATATTTTGTTAAGCACTCACTAGTATTAAAGATAAAACTCTGTGGGCATAGGCTCAGTCTGACTTCAATATTATTTATAATATTTTTCTGATGGTGCAATAACGGCCTTTTTTGCTTTTATTGTGTATAACCAGGGGTCCATATAGCCAGCTCTAAGCAGCCTTTAGTGACCTAAAAGTCCTCATGTGGATTGAATTCTTCCTTTCTGGAAGAATCCATAGGAGCCCCTGAAAGGCTATTTCTCATTGCCCTTGTAGGTCTAGTGTTCTCGAGGTTTCAAATGCAGATCCATTCAGATCTTGAAATACAAGATCATGATTCCTAAAATGTGGTAGAATTAATGCAGTCGCTGTTAGTCATAGATGGAGATTTCTGTGTGCTTAGTATAACATCATCTAAATAGGCCTGTAGTACTATTCAGTACTTTTTTTTTTTCAGTTTGTGATCAGAAGATCTCTAGAAACTGCCAGTATTTTCACAAGGTCATGTCTTCAGCACCTCAAGATGAGCACTTTTTAGCATTTTGATTATGTCGTGTAACAAAATTTCCTTTTTAAGTAATGCCACCTAAATAGATGATTTGACTCTGGTCTCTGATACCATTTTCTTTTAAAATATTTGAAACTGCTTTCAAGTTGTATGGATAAAGTTTTTGTCTTCACCTTTCATCTGATGACAGAGAACATGCCTTACTGAGATGCTCCCCTTACTCTGGATTTGAAAACACAAATTCACTTAGAATTGGTTTGAACTTCCCAGTGCCTTTTAATAATGCTTGGGAAAGATTTCTTTCATAATTGAAAAGGCTAATCGGAACTGCTCAGTATTTATTAGTTTATCCCCCAAACATTTTTCAACCTAATAATTTATTAAACCATATAAATTTATTATGTTGTATCGAGTTAGATTTGTTCTTTGTTCTCAGAGCTGATTGAAGGATAAAAACCTCTTCCTGGGATAAAAGCCTTTCGTAAACACTGCAGGGCAATTAAATAAATCACTGAGTTGATTGATAGTGGAGGGTTGAAAAATGACTAATTTCTGAATTTAGGATGCAGACTAGCTACTGACTTGCAGGACTTCCTGTGAAATTAGTTTAACTGGACAGATGGAAATTCAGTTGGTCAGTGTTACGGCGGATTGACGTGGCCTTGGAAATATCTGTTATGTCAGGTTCTCAGTAAAGAGTGCCCGTGAGCTACATACCTAGGAATAAAAAATCGAAGAAAGTCTTTCCACATGAGTCATTCGTTTGATATTTAACTCTGTAATCTTATTTACTGACTCAGTATCCTCATTTTATTTTGAATTATATATATATTTTTCACAATGTAAGTGCTTTATTCATTTTCTCTAATTGGTAGGAGTTTATACTTATTGCCAACCAAATGTTTAAGACAGGTAAAGCAACCTCAGAGTTAAGTTCATCAGAATCATTTTGATAATTACTTTAAAAAGCTTTTAAAAAGCCTTTAAAGATATATATATATATTTCCTTTCGTCTTCTGGTTTGTAGTTTGTAGTAAACATACTTTTTAAAGTCTTACTGTGCCATTGTTAGCTTCTGTATCCTTTGAGATTTTTTCCCTTGATTCTGACTTGTAAAGCAAGATTAACATTTTGCAAATTATCTTCTCTGAATAATTTTATTATATTTAAACTTGGGAGAGAAAAGATCCTCGCCTGATATTATGCTTCTAGTGATAACTACAAAAAATAAGAATCGTCATTTCCTCTCTGTTGAATACCTTTGCTGAGGTCATAAGAAGAGAAAAGATCCTGATCTTTTAAGCTGATGAAATAATTAAAACACACATACAGGATCTTTGAACTTTAAAGTTAGAGAGGATCATGTAGTCCAGTGTTTCTCAAACTTAAGTAATGTTCCCCTGTTAAAGACACATATTCTTATTGAGCTCCAGGATATTAGAAAGCTTTTGGTCACAAGTGACAGAAACCCAACTTAAACTCATATGAAATTGACTCGCATAATTGAAGTGCCTGGGGATTGGTTTGGCTCTGAAATTCAGCTGATCAAATAATCTTGTCAAATTCTGTCTGTCTGTCTGTATATCTAGCCAATCTATCTTTCTTTCTTTCAGTCCGTCTATCCATCCATCCATCCATCCATCCATCCATCGTTTTTGCCCCTATGCTGTGTTTATTCTCCTGCATACTTTCTTCCTGTGCTAGAAAAGTTTTTCCTTGGCAGATTTATGTGGGTCTTAAACTTCTGATACTAGAGAAGTACCTTCTTAACTATATCAGTCCTCTCACAATTACTCTGGCCGTGTTTGGGTCACATGCCTTCTCTGTACCAATCACGGTGTCCAGAAGAATAGGGCTGATTACTTTGTTGGGGCAGGTAACCCATAGTTGGATATGTCATTGGGGGAGAGGGAATTACCAAAAGAAAGTGATGAGGGCACACCCAGAAGTACCAGATACCTGGGGATTGGTTTGGCTCTGAAATTCAGCTGATCAAATAATCTTGTCAAATTCTATCTGTCTGTCTGTATATCTAGCTAGTCTATCTGTCTTTCCTTCAGTCCATCCATCCATCCATCCATCCATCTTTTGGATGTGGACTTCCTTTTATTTTAATATTAGTTAAATATGGAATTCTTAAGATTAGATATAATTTAATCACAGTTACAGTGTTTATGCAACTGTAATACCAAAATAAATTTATAATTTAATTATGAATAAAATGATAAAACTCCAACCAAATGCAAATTGACAGCATTCGTTAACTCACCCTTGCAAAGTGAACGTGGCCCTGACTGCCCGATGGAGGGTTTGGCGAGGTCAGTTCGCCTTTGCTGTGGCTGCCTTAGGAGGCATCCTTCACTGCTCCCGCTGGGTCTCTGTGTGAACAGGCATGAAACTTTATTCCTATGGCACAGCATACCCGCGTTTGGGTTTTACTTGGTTTGAAAGCATATTTGCATATTATATTTACATCTTTTATTTTCTCTTTATCCTACAACCACTCGGCTGCACTGTGATTGTAAACACAAATATAAACCTGACTGCTAAAATTGTAGGACAGTACTTGGTTCTAAGGTGGTCATCCCACTAATTTAAAGTATACTTCTTTTGCCTTTTTTGGGTTGTACTTGTCATCAGTGTGAAAACACAAAATTAAAAACATTTTCACAGAAAAAGTACAGATCTTCAAAACATACTTGTTTTGGATTCTCAGGACTTCTCAGACCTCAGATTGAGAAATGCCAATAGACCAGTCTGTCCCATATCTAAGCTGCAAAGCAAGTCAATTTACACATTCACAGCATAGGTTTCAGTTACGATGTTTTTCCTTTCAGATGTAAGTAGGTTTTCCTTAAAGGAACATTTTTCATACGCGTGATTATGAATGCGCGGAGAATTATAAAACGGGTCTCTTCCAACTCTCGGTCAAATTTGAATGTAAAACCATATGAGGATATCACTTGGAGGTGCCCCTAATCTCCCGTTTCATTTAATACTGTTATAGTATGTTAATCTTTTATTCATCTAAACCGATGCTTCCCAAAGGGCATGCTATTGGCATCTTGGTGGACCAAAAGCTTTCTAACTAATAAGACAGTTTTTTTTGTTCTGAGAGACTGTTCAGAGCATTGCAGGCTGTTTAACGTCTCTGGGCCCCAGACACTAAATTCCAGGAGCACCCCCATCATTGTGATGCCATGGTCACAATGCCCCCTAAGGGCTGGCACCATGACTGAGTTGGGAGCCACTGTTCTGAACTCTTTAAAATTTATTTCTGTTTATGGTGGGCAAGGGCCCCACGTAGGACAGATTCAGACTTCACCGCCAGAACTATCTCTTTCTGAGAGTATGACCTTAGGTACTTTATTTGCTTTCTCTGTTAAATGGAAATAAGAGCATTCACTTCATAGAGTTCTTGAGAAATTTAAAGGAAATAACGCCTATTTCCTTACCTTTTTTAGAGTGATTTTCAGTTTACTATTTTACCTTGAGAATCATCAATGCCTTAAATATAATCACCAACTGTGATAGTCACTCCCTTATTCTGGTAAATGGGAATTAGAAGAACAGGACAGGGGTTTTATAGACTTTAAGTGTCCTTCTCATTCTTTAGATGAATTTTTATTGATGGTTTGAACAGAACCTTTGTGGATCGTGTAAGGTCCTGGAAAGGTGACTGGAATGGGAGACCAGACTTGCCGAGTTTGTCCCCAGCTTTGTGACTGTCTCAAGTTAATAAACCTCCACTTTAAAATGGGAAGTGAGAGGGAATGAGAATCAAGGCAGACAGATTAATCAGTGAGCTTAAAAATCTCTTCCAGCTCTAAGCATTCTGGATTCTCACCAGGAGAGCAGAGTGTCAACTTCTCAGATTGAATAGTTTCCTCCTTTAAGTATTTTCCAAATACCTGTAGTGGATTCAGTTCAAATTATGCCAACTATGTAACTAAAACCGTATAGAATTAGGATCCAAGAGCAGAAAAATTTCTAACATTATAATGTGAGTTATTTTTATGTTTTTCCTACAGATAATTTTAGTAGATTTCCATATGAGTTATCAACTATCCCTTTCCAGACAGGAAATTAATACACTCTTTGTAATTCTGGCTGTAGTGATTAATTCACATGACTGATGAAGAAAGCACTGGAGAGAAAGAAAAAGGGATGATGTTTTAATAGTAGATTTAAGAACACGAGAACTCGTGTTTTGTGGATCATTGAGGGCGTGCAACTTTTTGCTCTTGTTTTGTTTGCAAGGCACCCCAGAAGTCTCCCCAAATGTTACTGCTCAAGGGACCTGCTATATGGCCATCCATGAGGCCCATGCATCAGCCTACTTACAGAATTTCCCCAAGTGAGCCCCCTTGGGTAGGAGCTAAAACAGATCAACTTTAATCCCCAAATCTGCTGTCGCAGAGTGTTAAAGCATTGTTTTATCATGTGTTAAAACCATTCTCCAGCTTAGAATTACAGTTATTATGAAATACTGCTATGGTTTTCATCACAGTAATTAGTTGTATATTTTCCCAAAGGGTTTTATTTTATCTTTGATATTTTGGAAAAAAAATCATCCCCCAAATCTATAACTTATTTTTTTTAAATTAATTTCTAAGTAGTAATGGAAAAACAAGTTACGTTCTTGCAATTATTTTTCTCAACTAAATGTTCAGCTCTTAATCTTTCTGTGTTACTCAGAAAATTATGTCATATGTAAGTGTAGTTATTGGTCTAGGGAGTCTATGTTTTTTCAGTACTAATTTGAGAAAATGCTAACATTAAAACATCTCTTTCTTATGAGTGTTTCTGTAGAGAAATTAGTGCTTTTAAACTAGGAGCAACAAATGGCTAACATCTAGTTATTCTATAGAAGCCCATTGAATAAATTATTTTTATTTTTACAAAAGAAAATCACTTTTGGTGCTGGCCTCATGGCTTAGTGGTTAAGTTTGATGCACTCTGCTTCAGCGGCCTGGGTTCCTGGGTTGGGATCCTGGGCGTGGACATACACTACTCATCAGCCATGCTGTGGCGGCATCCCACATATAAAATAGAGGAAGATTGGCATGGATGTCAGATGAGGGCTAATCTTCCTCAAGCAAAAAAATTAAAATAAATCACTTTCGAGAGTACACTCTATTTAATTGATTAACTTAAAAACAGTAGCTATCATGTGTTAAACATTGTGTCCCAGGGGGCTGGCCCTGTGGCCAAGTGGTTAAGTTTGTGCACTCCGCTTCAGCGGCCCAGGGTTTTGTTGGTTCGGATCCTGGGCACGGACATGGTACTGCTCCTCAAGCCATGCTGAGGTGGCATCCCACATGCCACAACTAGAAGGACCCACAACTAAAAATATACAACTATGTACCGGGGGGTCTTTGGGGAGAAAAAGGAAAAATAAAATCTTTAAAAACACTGTGTCCCAGACTCCATGCTGTCATTTTATGGGCATCATTTCCTTTTTCTTAAGAACCCTATGAGGGTTATTGCCATTATCTCCATTTTAGAGAGAGAGTAATTAATGTATCTAAGGTCTCATTCTTAGATAGTAGTAGTTCTGGGATTGACGGCTAAGTCTTTGCCACCTGGGACCCTTAAGCGCCATGCTCTGCTGGAATTCACTGTCCGTATTCCCAGAAGCAAAGCAAGGCTCCTACAGTTAATGTCATGTGACTCTCACTCAGGAAGAGGTGGAAGTCTCTCCCAGGGCCTCTTACTGTGCAAGCATCTTACTAAATGATGGGCCTAGAGACCTTGCCCAAGTGGGTTTAGTTTCCATATATAATTTGAGAGTATAAAAAGTGGGAACTCTCAAATGACTTTTTAAAATAGAGTGGCTGACAGTTTAGGTACTAGGCCATTACAATTATATTTTTAGTATTAGAACATGAAATACCCTAAGTACAGTGTATTTTCAAAAGAATTTTTATCCTTTGATACATTATTTTAGGCAAGAGTACAAAATACATTAAACTAGTTGCTCTACAAGTAGGTTTCATCTAAAATCGAATTACATTTTTTTTTACAATTTTTTTTTTAAGATTGGCACCTGAGCTAACATTTGTTGCCAATCTTCTTCTTTTTTTTTTTTCTTCTCCCCACCAAAGCCCCCCAGTACCTAGTTGTATATTCTAGTTGTGAGTGCCTCTGATTGTGCCATGTAGGATGCCACCTCAGCATGGCTTGATGAGTGGTGCCATGTGCACGTCCAGGATCCGAACCCTTGAAACCCTGGGCCGCCGAAGCGGAGTGCGTGAACTTAACCACTCGGCCACGGGGCAGTCCCTAATTAGATTTTTAACTCATGAGAGTTATTGTGTTTATATCACAATTTTACTTTACATTGTAATTTTTTCTTTTTCCTTACTTTTCTAGATGCCAAGAAATATTCTATAAAACCTAGGCAACGTATTTTAATTATTTTTCCCTTTCAAGACATCTGGAATATTGAATATGTATTTTTAGACATTTCTGTCTTTTTGAAGATTTCTTTTGTAAGATGAGTAAGCAGTTCAGCTTTAGTAGAAAGTAAAATTATTGCTGCATGGAGCCCTTGTGGACACAGGCAATAGTGTGTGTGTGTGTCTGTGTCCCTTTTGCTAATCATATTTGAAATGCCATGCAAGAGCTTGGGTCCCTCCTTCCTGTCGATAAGTTTTGCATATTCTATTTAATACTTCTAGATAGTAGGCATTTGGAGGAAGCTGTGACTTGTCTAGATTAGTGGTAAATTTCCAGAACACAAAATAAATTATAGTTTTCTTTCCTGTGATAGGTTTATAATAATCTTGAGTGAAAAATGAGAAATTGGGAAAGGGGGAAAGTTTTGACTCTTAACAGGATGTGCCATATTTTCATTTTTTAACTGAATATTACTAATCTATAAAATTTTTAGAAAGTATGGGATCAAGTGTACCCAATATACAAAACTTATTTAAATATCCCTAAAAAAGGTATTACTCGCTTGGCACCATGAAATTTAATCAATAACTTAATTGAGTCTATGATACACTTTTCATCTACCTAAAACATATGAGCACATAGGAAGTGTAGAATGGAATATATAGCGCTTTATCTCTGCCATGTGTGTAATTTTGATGAAATAAGCCTTGTGTTACAACCATTGTAAAAAAAGGACAGTTCACCTTCTAAGCTTCCTAGCCCCCTAGAATTCCTTTGATCTTTTTTATCACTCAAGAATGAATGTATTCATCCCTCTGTGTGTTAGTAAAGACATAGCAAAATGTCCGGCCCTGGAAATGTCAAGTTCAGCTTTTGCCTGCAGCCGCTGCTAGACCCAGGCTGCCTGGCCTTGTGAGTGTGTGAACTCAATTTAGTTTTGCAGGGCGCTCCACCCACGTGGTAACACCGTCTTGAAGGGCGCAGTGCTGTTAGTGCTGTAAAGAAGCCTCATGAAATCAAAATGTGTTGAGCGTTATTCTTCATGACACTGATTTTTATATCAAATTGTCATTGCAGGAGCAGTTTGAGCTGCAAAAGTCTTCTCTGAAGTAGAATATTAGGACAATAAACGGGGATTGATTGCATTCATTGTTCAAAAGAGATTTGAGATTTAAAATTCAAGTTACATTTTTGACAACTTATAGCAAGTTTTTGGCAACTTCCATTGGTTTTATTTCCTACTATCTAATTCCTATCAGTGTTTTGGGTTCTTGACTTGCTCAGTGTGGGAAAGGGTCCCTCAGCGATCCTGCGCAGCGTCTGTGGTATGCAGAATACAGGTTTGAAGCCACAGATAGGATTTGCATTTGTGTTACCTGAGCGGAATAACTCCCAGCATTGATTTTTGGTACCCTCTGAGATTTCTCCCGTTATTTTAAGACATATTGTAAAAAGTCTAAAACAAAACTAAATCTAATTTACCCACTTAAAATTGGTGTATAATACAACTCATTTATGAGGTAAGAAATTTTTTGTGTAATAAAATGAGGACGGAAATAAATGACTGGCGGATAATAAAACATTGTGGTGAGGAGACAGGGAATGGTTTGTATGGGATGTTAAGCATCAGGATCTAGTCATTGATTATAAATCCTTGGCATCAGTTTTCATTGCCTCTCCTTTGGCCATGGCTTTGTTTCAAGTGTCTAGGGCCTGTTGTCTTTCATTAACAGCCTTGTAAAAGTTAAATCAACTCAAAGACTTCAAGAGGGCCGCTCTGCTCGTGATTGCTCCCAGGTTTGCAGGGCAGTGAGCAAGGACAGGCTTGCACATGGAAGTCAAGTCTCTGAGTTAACTAGTGCTGGTAGCAAAGGGTAAAATACCTTTGTGGAACAGATGTCCCCTTCGTTCTTTTTGCTCGGATGGCTAGGGTGTAACTTATATAGAGTTAGGATGTAACTCTTCTTTTTTGGGGTAAAACTTAGGGAGAGTCTATAAAGAATGGCATTCTGAAGTATCTGCTTTGGCCAAGGACTTTGAGTCCTCAGGGTGCGTGTAGTCAGCCTGTGTCCAGACCCCATGAAGCCCCCTCAGCCTGTGGGCCTGTACCCAGGAAACACCACCTTTTTTCCCGTCTTTTCCCTGGTTCTCTTGGCAGAATTTTATGAGGAAATAAACAGCCGTTGCTCCTTACCCCAGCCCTACATCTCCATTGGGATGAGGACTAAAGCATGTGAGACAGCAAAACGTTAAATACGTGGGAGAGATTTTGAAATGCTTCCACACGCGTTTCCTATCGGACTCGTATGTCAGCCCTGTGCGGTGAGTGAAGGAGTAAGGCTATGTAAAAATGAGGAAGCCGAGGGACAAAAAGAGGCTAAGGAAGTTGATTGACCTAATGATGCCCTCCTGGCCTTTGATACTGTAAGCCGTTGTGGGGTCTTCATGGCCTGTTAATACAGCTGCCCATTTTTACACCTGGAGAACCTGAACCCCAGAGAAGTTGTAACTAGTTCACCCTCACATGTGTGTTGTCTTGTAGCTGGAACTGGAATTATCTCCTGACAGCCAGTTTGGTATTCTTGACTTCATACCCTGCTGAAGTCAGCACCTTGCACTTCGAAAGGAAGTCAGAATAGGTGGTATTTGCCCTGTTTATAGAGGATGAAATTGAAATGCAGAAAGAGAACTCTGCCACTGGTTACACATCCTGTTAGTAGCAAATGCTAAGACTAGATTAGAATTTAGGATTCATGGGTAAAAAACACAGCTTCTTAATGCTTTGTCGTCCCCCAAATTTTTAGCAATTAGTCAATCTCTCTTTTATATGTCGACTGCAGTTTGTTTTTTCTCTATTAAATACATTATATAGTATGGTTTGGAGAGTAACAGGAGAAAGCTTGATTTAAGGAGGAATTTTATGCCACAAATTATTAATCCAGGAGCTTTCAAAAGGTTCCTTTATCCATACACAGTATCACAGTGTTGTATACAGGATCCTTTGTGCTCTTTTGATGATAAAATTAGTATTAGAGATTTGATAGCCTGGAACTCATTAGTATGCTGCATAGACCTTACCTTTTCTTTGTGGTCTTTCTGCCAACAATTCCAGTTGGGAAAAACAGAAGATAGAATGACTAGAGTGGCCGGCTAAAATACAGGACACCCAGTTAAATTTGAATTTCAGATACTACTTATACTAAAAAATTATTCATTGTTTATATGAAACTCAATTTTAACTGAATGTCCTGTATTTTTATTTGCTAAATCAAGCAACCCTAAGAATGACTCTTGTCTCGAACACATTTATAATACATTCTGTTTAGTGCCTTGTCTTAGATTTATTAAATGTGACCTGTTTTCAGAGAAAGACAGACATGGGATTCAGGCAGGTTTTTTTAAGGACACTAACCTTAAGAATCTTTGTTCTCCTGAGTCCTCTGAGGCAGAGTTCTTACCTCCGTGGTTGAGTGTGCCATCCTTTTATGATCTGGATGGAAAGAAGTTAGAGACTGTTATTGGAAGTGATCTTACTCTCCCTGGCCTCGTGTGCCTGACTTTGACTTTGACCCTTTCTGATGCAGCGGGAGGTTATGGAGGCCTTCTTCATGACAAGCACTGAGGTTCCCGAACTTCTGTATTCTTCCAGGCTGTAAGACTTGGAACAGGAGACCTGGTTTTGCTCCCAAATAGCAGAATGTGTTTGATTCAACCATTTAATTTAGCTTCATAATTGACAAAGCAGGATTGTTAATGCCTGCCTCACTAGGTTTAAATAAAAGATGCTTTTTTTTTCTTGGTATCACTAATGTAAATAGTTTTCAAAGTCCCATACAATCAAGGAAGAGCAAGAATGGAAAATAGAGATCCTATGCAAGATCATAGGAGTGATTTGCCCGGTCAGAATCACCACGCAGCTTTCTTGAATCCCATCTGGTACTTTTTACCCTTATATTTGACATGTTTACAGTCACCTTTTCCACCTTTATTCATTTGTGTGCATTTACATTTAATTTCATATGACAGCAAGATCCAATATGTATATAAATTAACCTCTGAACACAAAATAAACTTCAGTTTGGGGAGGAGAGGTCAGTTAATAATTTATCTGAGGTTGCTCATTACCATTTCCCTGGTGCCCAGCCCCGCTCAGCGATCTTTACCTCATGAGAATAATTCATTCTAGACAAAAAGGACGCTTAAAAGTGAATTCAATTAAAATAGCAGTGAAAATGTTTTAATTGGAACTTTATCTTGAAAAATGGAACCGTAGATTATGAAAGTAAATTTATCTTATTTTAGATTTCATAAAATTGAGATTATAATGAAAACTCCTTGCTAAGTTTTACAATAAACAATTGATTTTCTGACAAAACTGTACCGTAAACAATGGCACATGTTTATCATATGAATACATGTATACCTCATGTTTGACTTTTGCAGCAGGATCATAAAGAGATTTTTTTCCCCAAAAAAATAGTTTTTTTGAATTAATATTTGAAAACTTCATCAGTTTTTCCAAGGGCCTTTCTTAGTCTAGAATGTAATTATTTGAACAGAATTCTCTTTTCAAGTATCTGTTATCTCATTATCCTGGTTGATTCTTTCTTCAGTTGTTAGCTGGTCTTTAATTGGGCATAGCTCTTGTCTCCAAGAAAATATCTAGAGGTAAATCACTTGTGAGACAATTAACTATAGTAATAAAAAACACGTGAAGAATTTTTTTGTTTTTTAAAGATTGGCACCTGAGCTAACAACTGTTGCCAATCTTTTTTTTTTTCCTGCTTTATCTCCCCAACCCTTCCCACCACCCCCCCCCCGCCCCCCCCCCCGTACATAGTTGTATATCTTAGTTGTGGGTCCTTCTAGTTGTGGCATGTGGGACACCGCCTCAACGTGACCTAACGAGCAGTGCCATGTCCGCGCCCAGGATCTGAACCCTGGG